AAACCATAAGAGTGGCCGATAAGAGCTGTCTTGATCGGCCCCACGGTGGGCGCCAAATGTTCTTACCGGAAATCTGCTGTAGAGATGATCCTCTGAGTAAGATTGGCGAGCCTCCTTCGCGGGTACGTTTGATGCTCCAAGATGGGGGTGGTACCTGCAAAAGAGACTTCGATGCTAAAGTTAGTGTTTGTGGGTGTATGAGTCTCGTATAAATAATGCACGTACCTTTGTGTGTATTAGGGTTTTGTTGGGCCTTGGGCCCGAGATCAATTTATGACCTAATTGGATAGCGAGCCAATGCCGCCTAGTGCGTGTCCAAGGTCACTCCGCACTGTAATGCCGAGCTCAAGCTCGGCATAACAGTACGGATAGTACATAAATATTAAAAATATTTTGTGAAATTTTACGAATTATAAATGAACTCTAAACCCTAAATTTTTAACTTAAAAAACTAAACTACAAAAATATAAAAAAGATAAAGAATGTAATTATAAAGTATTTTAATTTAAAAAAATTCAACTTCAATTTCTTAAATAAACTTGTGAGGTTTTTTACCGTAGAATTTCTCTTTTTTTTTTTATGTTTTTTTTTTCCCTTACTCACGCTTACTCAAATTGATTAGGTGTGAGTGTGACTAAGAAATCAATGGTTTCATTATAAGACGCTGAGTTTTCGGCCCATACCAATTTAAAAGCCCGTGGTTCCATTTTATGTTTTGTTGTTTTATTTTTCAGCCTTCATTGCTTTTCAATTTGACATGATCGACGACGAGGCATCGAATTGAAGTGTGGCTCTTTGCTGCATCGTTGTACACAGTGAGCACCTCTCTTCACATCTCTCTTCATTCCTTCATTTCATCACACAATTAGAGACACCACTTTATCAGATTTATGTGCTTTGTTAATAACGTTGAAATTAAAATGGGTATGTGCTTGGTTTTCACCAAATTGAAATGGGTTCAACATGTAATAGACCTTTGATTAGAAGATATATAACAGAGTGTGGAGACTTAGGTATCTTAAGAACAAGGATCTGGAGAGTGACTAAAGAGACGGTAAAATTTTCATCTCTAATTAATATTCTTTAATTTAATAATGTTTTAAATGAAAATTTAGCATTCACGAAATTCTGTTTTGTGGTGTTTTGTGAACGTTACTGTTTGTGAATCATTAATGTTATTGCTGAACCTGTGGGATTTTTTCCCCATGCTAAATGGTGGCTGTTGAGTTGAGTATAGTTCTGAGGTCTTGCGTTTTTGTTTCTTGGGTCAAAGATCTTACATTTTAGTTGGGGACTGAGGGCTATGCTCGTACTTTTGAATGCTAGTGATGCTCAAGATCATCTTGTAGCATAGGGTGCTTATTCAGTTTTATTTTGGATAGAGAATGCAGAATTTTCATTGGAATTATATGGAGTAATGTTTTCTTGACGGAAATTTTATCTCCAAGTTAAGGGTTTGGCTTCATGTTGTTTGTTTATTGTTTGAGCATTTCTTCTCCTAACATTATCCCTGTTTAAGCATTTGAAGCGATATTTATCAAGATAAAAAAATATAAGTCTGTACAATCTGAATTCAATGGTTCTGATTAGATGAATGGGTGAACTTGGAAATTCCTGATTGCAGGTATTCTGTAATTGGAATGGATTCTCTGCATCATTGATTATTATGATATGAGCAATATGATGATGTGTTGTACATTCCTACAGTATTGATAGCTAGTAACAACTCTTCTCCTATAAGCTCTTCTACAAAAGCTCATCCAAACGGCCCTTAGTGACCCAAGAAAATTCAGTTTGCAAAGGTGATAAGCTACCTTAGAGGTTAAACTGTTAGGCATAGGGATAGGGTACCGGAAGTTCAGCATTTGGGTATTTGCATTAATTTTGTTTCTGTTCTTTTTCATGCATTTCAAAAGTAGTTCTGTTTATTTGTTCTAATTTTGGGGTCTAGTGATTATTTTGGCACCTATTTCTTCTTTTGCGGGGGTGTGTGTTTTAGAAGCACATTTTAGTTTTGATCGAAAGATTAACTGTTAAAAGATTTTAGAATGTTTCAATTAGATTTTTTAAAGGTCTCGTGTTTTTCTGACACTTCATTTTATTTTAACATGACTGTAATTGATTATCTTATTTAAGGAAAATGCCCTCGTATACTACTCTTTAATGTTGCCTCCCTTTCTAATTCACCATGAAATTCCGCTGTCCTTCCTCTAGATTTCTGCTTGTTGCATTTGAAGCCATCTGAGGCCATTGTGGACTGCCATCTGAAGTCATTAACTGTCATTAGGTTGGTGAAATGTTTTTGTAATTTCTTTTCTTGTGATAAAATATATCCATCAATCTTTAGATTACAATTTGATAGGCCCATTAAATTAAATGTGTATAGAAGAAGGGGAAGAGGGAGTAAGAGAGGCAAATGGGCCTGATAATAGTGGACTGTGGGTGTATGAGAGGAGAAAAAGACCAGCTGGCAAAGAAATGAATGGAGACATTAGAGGTGGAGAGCATAGAAAATGTGGAGAATCTTGGGGAATAAGGAATGCATGAGGGACGTGTATTTCAGGGTGGCGGGGAGGAAACACAGAAGAGCTCTTATCACTATTCTACCTTTTGATCAGTAGAAGAGTACATGTTGACATAGCATGTCAAATTGCTAAAATTTAAGTACCGTTGCTTATATAAGAGATGATTGCTTAAAAATAAAAAATAATTTAATATTTTCTTCCTTCACTAAAGCCAACAAGTATAATAATTAAAATTTTTAAAATTTATTAAAAAGGAAGTATGAGTGATTAAAAAGTAGAGGTGCTTATAAACAATTTTTAATGAAATAAAAATTATAAAAATATAATATAAGTTGCTTATGAGTAACATGACAGTGCGGGATCCATTTAAAGCGGATGAGAGTTATTTATAAATAACTCCCATTGTAAATAATAATAATAATAATAATTATTATTATAATAATAATAATTATTATAATAATAATAATAATAATAATAACATGTGTTTTTTCTCTCAAATACATTAAATAAATGAGAAAGTACATTTTGCAGAATACTTGATTAATTTTGGTACTCCATTGCAAGATTAAACTTTGCATACATTTTTTATTTTACAGTATTAAAATATGTTTTGTGAGTAACTTAACTAAAATATTGATTAGCTTGAAATTTGATGGAAATCAATTCTGACATAAATTTGATGGATTGTCCAAATTCCTGACATGAACAGAATAGAGTTACGACATGATTTTAAAAAATAAAGAAAAATGTCATGCTGAACAGATTAGGATCCTAACATAGTAGCTTCTTTAATCTAAATTTGATAATTTAAGTCATGTAACATTAGATGTTAGCATGCCGAAAGTGAATTGCAAAAGTATATTCAAGAGCTGTCAAAACGGGCCAGCTCAGCTCATGTGGGCCGGCCCACCTTAACTCACTTTAAAAATAAGCTAACCCAACCCGGTCCACTTTTGATTTTCCAAAAAAAATTTAGTCCGGCTCGGCCCACCACGGGTTGGTGGGTTATACGGCGAGCTCACCAAAAATTAAAAAAAAATTATTAACAAAATTCAAAATTTTAAATTAATTATAAATTAACATAATAATCATAAAATTAGCATCATTAATAGTCATAAGTCATAACTCATCATACAAAATTAAATACAAATCATGATAAAAGTTCAAAATAAAAATTTTTAATATCCTATTATACAAAATTAACTACAAATCATACTTAAATTGGTGTGAGCGAGACAACAAAATCCTTGCCTTGATGTCATTGATCGCGATATATGTTGTGTTGAGTGCAAGATGCTTGGATATTGGTGTGGTATTAAAATGTTGTATGATAAACATGAATATATTTTTGAGTTTTATTGCATGTTGTATGATATATGATGATTATTCTATATATGTTGATTGGATATAACATAAATAGATGTTTATGTGGTGTTGGGTGATGATGAGCATATGTATGCGATACAAATGGATGATGTTAATGTTTATCTTTATATGCATTGATTGGATGTGATGTACATAGTTGATGTATGCACGAGGTGAGGATGTTGAGAATGCGATATGACATTAAAGCATGATTGGCTAACTTAGGACTTGAAGAGAATAAATTATTTTGAAAATTAAGATCCCACATAGGGAATTTTTGAGTGTTGCTTGAGTAGGTCATTGTTAAAAAAAAAAAAAACCCTCCATGATTAGATGTGTCTCTTGAAGTGAGTTTTGAGGTGTATTAAGTCTCCTCTAGGTCCTTAATTAGTGGTTGAGGTCCTTAACCAAGTACATGAAAAGGTTGTGTGGTTCCTTAAAGATAGCTAGTGGACTAACTCTACATGTGACTTGGTAATGTATGTTAAGATCGTAGTACGCCTATACTTAGTTGGAACTCCTAATGATGGAATCGAACTTTCTTAGTATAAGTAACAAAATTTGAGAGTTTATGTTGTTGTGATTGACAATCCAATTTGGTTAATGAGTCTATCTATTTTAAAGATGATCATGTTGATGGGTTTATCTAGTCTAAAGATGACCAAGTTGATTCAATAGGGTCAAGTCACTTAAACTATTAAATTGTTAGGATATCTTCGTAGGTGAATGCGTGATGACGCATTAGTTGAGACGTTTGCATATGATGTATGTTGTGGTGTGTTCATATGCATTGTTGGATGTCTTGTATATGACATGGTTTAGATGAGAAATATGTTAGAATTGGAGTGTTTATCTTTCATATATGTTTATGGTATGATGTATGATATAAAATTGTTTTCTATACTTACATGCTTTTGAACTTTGGCTCACCTTTCTGTTTTCACTGTAGTTTAGACTACAATAATCATATGTTGTATGAGAGTACATTAGGGTTAGGCTAGAGGAGCAATTGTTGCTTGGAGGTTGACAATGCCTTTTTAGTTGGTGTCGATGCTATTATGGTAGCTCGTATAATTGTGTTTGACTAGTACTAGGAAATAATATTATTTTGGAATTACTGTATACATATATAACTTGTTTATATTAGTAATAATAATAATAATAATAACATGTGTTTTTTTAATAAAAATGAAAGGTCAATGGTTATTAACATGCATGTGGAAGGCGAGAGAGATTTCCTTCTTTCGGACAATACACGTGAGGGCGTATAATTTGATGACTATCATTAGTATTTGACGTAGGGTAGGGTACAGTAAGAGAAAGATCAAGTCTCTCGCTATTGCTATATATGGGAATATTTATATTCAGAGTTAGATTGTATAAATTTAAAATCAATGCCTTACTTTTATTTTTGTTTCTATTTTTTCCCCAAATTGTGTCTTACCCATCGCTTTCTGTCACCACCGTGAACTCATTAATAATTTAAACAATTTATACATCTTTAACTTTAGAGATATAATTACTTTTAACTTTAGAAATTTCCTACATCTTACTGACTCTTATAAATAGTTTGACTCTAAGTTATAACATTTGACTTATCATCTCTAGATCAAGTATAAGTAATTTTAAGTGTAAAATTTTTTTAATAACTTATTTTTATTTCTTAAATTTTGTCATTTATTCTGAAAAAAGTTCAATACTATTATTAAAAATAGAATAATTTATATATGAGTCTACTATAACATTAACATGTATTTATTAAGCTTGTATAAAATTAACTTGTTAATTATCCTCCAAACAGTGTTCATGTTATAATTATATTAATTATTTTATGGAAGGGGAAGGAAGGACATGATGGTCATTGGATTAATTAGTATTAATATTATTAATATTATTATTTTATTTTTATTATTTTAAGAAGATGTTTCTTGTGGGTTAGTCCTATAGGCTGGCCTATTTGGTAAAGTAGCCCCAGACACAAGATCTATTTGATGCTCTATTCTCCTAAAAGGTGGAAGTCCCATAGGGCCTTCACTAGGGAATACATCACCAAATTCTTTCAAAAGATTTTTCACTTCAAGAGAAAGAGAAGTTTCCAAAGATGTGGCAGTGCAAGTTAGTGTTCCTCTACACATGAGGATATGAGAAGATGGTTCAAGAAGGAGAGAGGTTTTGTATAAAGGTTTTGATTCAAAATTCTCCCCTTGAACTATCTCTAGAGAGGGAACACTAGTCTCTCTAGAATCCTCTTTTTCACTAATTTTTAAGTGTTTTATGCATGAGTTAATTTTAATCCAAATTGACTAAGAGTGAGTATGATGATGATTTAAAATACTTGGAAAGGTTTTTGAAGTATAAAATTGAGTTTTTGAAAGCTAACTCAAAATAATCGATTATCATTAAGTGTAATCGATTATTCCAACAACTGGTGAAAAGAGCCTTGTTGTAATAATCGATTATCTGTGAAATAATCGATTATTCCAGGAAGTACTCTCTGGAATAATCGATTATCCTGTAAAATAATCGATTATTCTGTTCTTGAGTGGTTTCTAGAAATTATGAAAAACAAAATAATCGATTATCCTTTAAAATAATCGATTATCCGGGCGCGTATGATGATGGTGACTTATATGCTGATAGCTGTTAAATTTTGCTGAAATTGTTGATAGATGTTATTTTATGCTGAACTAAGCTGTAATTGATGAATATGTTATGCTGACTAGATGATAGTGCTGAGAAATGATGTTGAGCTGTAATAGAGGTATATTGTTGTGCTGAGTTGGGCTGTGATTGATGATTTGTAAATGCTGAATTATAGTATTGTTGTACTATAGAATGTCGAACTGAGTTGTGAGTAGTAAGCTGAGTTGAATACTACTTAGCTGTGCTGTATGTTGATTTGTTGTGCTGTGTTGTGAGCTGTGTTAGATGGGCTGTATGTTGATCATTAGCCACTATTGTGGTGCTGTTATTACCGTTATGTCGGTGCTGTTATTAGCTACTATTTTGGTGCTATTATAGCCGCTAAATCGGTGTTGTTATTGCCGCTATGCGGTGCTGTTATAGCCACTTGAGTGGCGCTGTTATTGCTGCTACGCAGTGCTGATATTGCCACTTCGCGGTGCTGATATTGTTGAATGCTGTGGTGCAGTATAAGCTGTGTTGGTGTGATGATAGTTGTAGTTGTTTACTAATCATATTGTTATACATGTATATGTTGATTTCTTTTCACTAGCTTATCCTTTGTTGTCTCCATGATGTTTGGACTGCGATGATCATACTATGTATGGGAGCAGAGTAGGGATAGGTTGGTGGCTGGTGGGGGGGCTGCAGCTGGTAGACGGAGCTGATCTTTTAAGCTGTTTTGTTGTTTTAGCTACTTGGTGTAGTAGCCTTT